TGCAGAGGGAGGAGGGGCAGAGCCCAGGAACGTGGAGGTACAGTGCGACGAGCGACGAGGAGCGACAAGGGCGGCCAAGGCCGAGACGGCAGGTCGCAGCTGCAAGGGGTGGGAGGGGGAGAGGCGGGCATGAGAGAACGTTGCACACACAGCACAGAAGGGTCCCTCACACATCCAAGGGCTCCGCACACAGAAGGCTCCACCCACTCACTGCGTGTTCCACAGCTGTTGCACGAGTGAGCTGTCTGGGGCCCACCCGCTGGCTTGACTCAAGCTCGGGAGTTCTTCAGTGTTTTGTTGTGCGGCGGGTGCCGCGGAGAAATGACCGTTTTCCACAACTGGTGGGGCCCCAGTCCGACACGAAGGTCGCCGAAGGACAACTAGTTCCCAACTATTGGGTGGGGTCTGAGAAGACCTGCAGTGGAGGCCCATGCCAAGTACCACCCTGCTTGCCTCCAGGGTGCGCTGGGCTTCTTGGGTTTCGACGGCTCTGCCACGGAGAGCGTGACGCTCCCACACCAAGAGTCAATGGACGTGCTGGGGCCTCGGGGTCGGGTTTCTTGTGGGGGCTTTTTTCTTGTGGTCGGGTCCCTACAGTGCCGTTTTTTTATACATGCTCCGCGTGCGGATCATGTATTTATAATGCAGGGATTTAATATTAAAAACAACGATGAGTTCATGCATACATTTGTTCATGAACTAATCATGTATTTAAATCTCATAGTTTTCAAAATCCCATGTCTTAAAAACTGCCCTCTACACCTTAGGCGATGCTTAAGGAAACTTGAGTTTTCGGCCAGAGTCTCGATTATTCTTAACGTTTCAATGTAAACCCTAAGTTTTGAATAGAAATGCTGGGTTTTTTTATTCAAGATCTGAGACTATGAATTTCTGAACCCATGATTTCTTAAGCATTTCGCAGGGTGTACTGCACTTGGCGTCCTGCTGCTGCCCCGGGGCCGCCGCCGAGCACCCCCCCGAGCGTGGCGCCACGGGCCGGCGCCCCGGGCAGCCGGCCCGAAGGCCCCCCCGAGGCCGGGCCCCGCCGCCCCACACACACCCCGAGGCCGAGCCCACGGGACCCCTGCCACCCCCTCCTCCTCCTCCTCCTCCTCCTCCTCTTCCTCCTCCCCCCCCCGAGGACGGGCCCCGCCGCCCCACAAACCCCCGAGGCCGAGCCTACTGGATCAAGCAGTGGCGAAGCGTCCCGGCTCGCCTATAGCCCTATCAGACAGTGTTATGAGAACCTATTCTTGTCCCCACGATATGTTCTTAGAACATTTCTGGCGGCGCCTGTCCTGTTTGAACACATCGGGCTTATGTTATGAGAACCTTGTTTCTGTTCTTAGAACACTTGTGGGCTCTAAGAACATTTCGTGGTATGACTATAGGAATGCCAGGACGGCCGGTCCCTGCTCAACAGACGGGCCCCGTCGCCCCACACCCCCCGAGGCCGAGCCCACTGGACCCCCGCCACCCCCTGGGGGGGAGGGCTTCGCAGCTCGAACCAGAAAAACCACACAAACATAAACTTTTGGCGTTCCGCGCGGATTTCTTGGAGCCGCGCCTGGGCCTCCTAGCGGCACCTCCGGGCGCCGCCCCTGGCGCGCTCCGCGCGCCAGGGAGGGGGGTCCAGCGCGGATCCAAGAAATCCGCGCGGAGCGTCAAAAGTCTATCTTTCTGTGGTTTGCAACGTTAGTGCGACGGGATCTATACATATCCACTACTCCCTGGCCAGGCCCATCTTGATCGAAGCAGCTGTGTATACGCCCTCCTGGCCAAGCCAGGAGGGCGTGGCGTATACACCACTGGCGGGTTAAGGATGGACGTGGCCAACATCGCACAAACATCGTAGAGCGGATTTCGTTCGGAAAACGAAAGGGTGGGTCCAGAGTGTCCTAGAGAATGTCGTTCCCGATTTCGAGGTGAACTGCGTGCGGATTGTTCTGGCCTGGGATGAAGACCAAAAATAATCCACGCGAAATTCACTTCGTTTTTCTGTCGCCGTTCCGGGCAAACATCCACGCAGAAATCCGCTGCAGCACGTCTGCAAGGCCAGCGCAATGACAATTAACGTGGCCCTGGCTGACCCAGGCTTGCGCTGACCCGGGTCAGTTGCTGTCGGCCACGCGCAGAGGGGGGTTGAGAGGAGGGGGGAAGCCTCTCAGCAGCACCCCTCCTTATTAGGAGGCGCAGGCCATGTCTCTACATGTGGGGCCAGCGCCCTCTGACAGTCAACCCGCGGAGGAGGAGGAGGAGGAGGAGGATGGCAACGAGGAGGAGGAGGGCAACGAGGAGGAGGAGGCGGAGGAGGAAGAGGAGGAGGAGGAGGAGGAGGAGGAGCAGTCAACCCTCATAGTAAGATTACCCTTGCATCCTTCCTCTTCGGCCCATCATTGGCCCCTCTCACTGGCCGCGCCCCGCTCAAAGGGTGTCGACGTGGCCTTCCAGGGCCCTTGCATCCTTCTCGTGCGGCCTTCTCATACGGATTGGTTGCAGACGCGGTGATATCAGATTGCCCCGGCTAGCCAACATGTGCTCATGCGGCCCGAGGAGTATTCGCCGGATCGGGAACTGAGGGAGCAATAGGGCGAGGAACGAGAAGATGTGCGCGGTGATGTCGAGTTGCCCCAGCTAGCCAACGCGTGTGTTGTGCGGCTCGAGGTTCATTCGCCCGATTGGGACGTGAGGGAGCGAGAGCGCGAGGCATGAAGGAAATGAGGAGGCAGGCAAGTGGAAGGGGAGGGCGAGGAGGAGGAGGAGGAACGACCAGGCCGGAGGAAGGGGTCGAGGGAGGAGGAAGAAGATGATGATGGTGATGATGATGTTGCTGATGATGATGGTGCTGATGCTGATGATGAGGATGCTTATGATGATGGCGATGACAATGACGATGATGATGATGATGATGATGATGATGATGGTGGTGGTGGTGATGATGATGATGGTGGTGACGATGATGATGCTGGTGATGACGACGATGATGGTGATGCTGATGATGGTGATAATGAAGATAGTGATGACGATGATGATGCTGCTGCTGATGATGATGATCATCATGATCATGATGAAGATGATGACGATGATGATGGTGATGATGATGACGGTGGTGACGATGATGATGCTGATGATGACGACGATGATGGTGATGCTGATGATGGTGATAATGAAGATAGTGATGACGATGATGATGCTGCTGATGATGATGATGAAGATGATGACGATGATGATGATGGTGGTGATGATGATGATGGCGATGGTGATAGTGTTGGTGATGGTGATGGTGATGGTGATGGTGATGGTGCTGCTGCTGTTGTTGATGATGATGATGATGCTGATGATGATGGTGATGATGATGCTGATGATGCTGATGATGATGATGATGATGATGATGATGATGATGATGATGATGCTGATGATGATGATGAGAAGCAGGAGGAGGAGGAGGAGGAGGGTGAGGAGGAGGAGCAACGGGAGGAGGAGGAGGAGGAGGAGGAGGAGAAAGAGGAAGTAGGAGCAAGGAGGATGTTTCGGCCAGTGGCGGCAGTACCAGCCAGCAATTGTCCCTCAGACGCATTTCCACGGTTTTGCCGACGCCCTTTCGACTCCACCGGGCCTTGCCCCAGGAGGAGGTAGGGGGAGGAGGGAGGTCGGAAGGAGAGAGGAGGTAGGAGGGAGGGGGCAGGTCGGAAGGAGGGAAGAGGTAGGAAGGAGGAGGTAAGAAGGAGGGAGGGAATCATGAAGGAGCGAGGAGGGACCCGAACCCTCAGTGATAGAAGCTCGTTGGTATGGGGGGGGCTGTAGCCTGGGGCCTTGCCAGTGCCCCTCCAGAATAGTGTGGAGGTTGCGAGGTCACGTGGCATTGCAGGCGTACTTCTGGCGGGCTGACTATACAATGCCAGCTTCTTACTTAGCTCGCCTGTACTCGCCCTTGATCCCTCCCCCTTGAATCTGTGGGCCCCCACTCGGAGGCCAGAGAAGCCTCCTACACGCCGGCTTTCAGGTAGGATGGGCTGAGGCGAAGGAGGGAGGGGGGAGGGGAGGGGCTGGGAAGGAGGGAGGAGGAGGAGGAGGAGGAGGAGGAGGAGGAGAAGGATTGGGGGAGGAGGAGTTGGAGGAGAAAGAGGGGGAGGAGGAGCACGAGGAGGAGGAGGAGGAGGAGGAGGAGGGGACAAGGAGGGGACAAGGGGGGAAAGTGAGGGAGGAGGAGGAGGAGGAGGAGGAGGAGGAGGAGGGGGAGGAGGAGGTGAGGGGAGAACGAGGGAGGAGGGAGGAGGAGAGTGGTGGGGGAGGAGAGGGAGGAGGGAAGAATGTGGGAGGGGGGGGAATGAGAAGGGGAGGAGAGGGGGAAATACAAGGAAGGTGCGCTCGCGCCCCATTTGACAACCCCTCTCTCCCATCCCTTTCCAGGGCGCTGATTTCCTTGATCCACGGACACAAGTCGGAGCCGACCTGCGACTCACACAGAAATACCATTTCGTGTAATGCACAATCGGAGAAAGGCGAGCTGCCGGCACAGGAGGAGGAAGAAGTGGCGGTTGAGCAGGAGGACGAGCGGGGGAAAGGACGAGGACGAACAGCAGCAGCAGCAGCAGCAGCAGCAGCAGCAGCAGCAGCAGGACCCGAAGCGGAAGCATCGGGAGGAAGAGGAGGGCCAGGGGCCGGCGGACGAGGGGCAGTGGGGGGGGGGGGGCGCGACAGCGAAGCAGGACTCGGATCCAGAAGTAGGGCCCGCGCTGGGGCGAGAGCGCCAGTCTGAGCGACGGGTGCAGAGCGCCGATCCGAACTTGAGGTCCACGCTGCAGCGGGGGCACCGTCTGGAAACACGGAAGGCACTCGACTCTCGGATGGTGCAAGACCATCAGAAGGACCGAGTCGTGAAATCCTGTGCGGGGGGGAGAAAGCAGCACGCGGAGGGGGCGGGAGGTCTTTCCCCGACAGCTTCAGGGGAGGAGGGACCGCAGCATTCCGACTGCTCCACTGTGGAGGGAATAGAGCAGGTCATCCTGCCAGTTCGCGAAGCGGTGATCGCGCAGACGGCCGCCCCGACGGCCGAGTCGAGGGAGGCCCTGCGGGAGTGCCTGGCCAGGGCGTGCGAGGCGCCCGACTGCGCGGAGCTGCAGAGGGCGCGGGCGCTGCTGGCCGACCTCGACCGCAGGGCCGCGGCCGCGGCGAGGCTGCGGGAGGCGCTCGGACTGTCGGAGGACGGCCCGGGCCTCCTCCGGCTCCGCTGCCCTCCTCCTTCCCTCCCTCCCTCCCTCCCTCGCCGTCCCTCCCTCGCCTCCCGCCCTCCGTCCGTCCTCTCCGTACCCCTCCTTCCCTCCCTCCCTCCCTTCCTCCCTCCATTCCATCCCTCCCTCCATCCCCCTCCCTCCCTCCCTCCTCCCTCCTCCCTCCCTCCCTCCCTCCCTTCCTCCCAGGTCGTGCTGGGCTGGGTTGGGCGTTCCCTGCCCCCCCGCTTCCTCTGTTCCTCCCTCCCCGTCCCTGCTAGAGGTCGCCGTGGAGGCGCGGCGCCAATGGGGCGTCCTGTGGCGCGCAGTCGGCTGACCTGTTGGCAGGGCTGCGGTGGGGTCGGGAGCGATGGATGGAGCTAGGGTGGGCTCTTCCCCTCCTCCCTCCTCCCTCCTCCCTCCCTCCCTCCCAGTCCTGCAGGATCGGGTCGGGCCGGATTAGTGGGGCCTGGGCCTCTGCTCCTCTTCCTCCCTCCTCCTTTCCGACTCTTCTGCCTTCGCACGGCACGGCGTCCATTCCTGCATCAGCTCCCCATGCGACCCGGGGTGCCTCCTGCCTTTGGAGAGATCGAGAGGGTGTTTCGGAGATGACTCGCCTGGGCCTCTCTGCCGCCCCTGCTTCTTCCTCCCTCCCTCCCTCCCTCCCTTCTGGTCCTCGCTGGGGTGGGATGGGCTGGGGTGGGCCCGTGCCGTCGCCTTCGGCGTCTGCGGCGCCGTCGTCGTTGCTGTTGCCGCTGTGCTGTCTTTGTCGCCGTTGCTGTGGCTGTCCCTTCCGCCGCCGCCGTGGTCGTCGGCGTTGGCGCCGCCGCCGCTCCCGCTGTCGTCGTTGCCGTCGTCGTCGTCGTCTTCGTCGTCGCTGCGGCGCCGCCTTTCCCTGCCGAGCCGCGCGGGCGGTCCGCCGGGTTTCGCCCCCGAGCTCCGCCGCCGGATCGGGGCCCCTGGTCGCCTCCTGCCCCTGAGCAATTCCTGCGGTGCCAAACGGGCCTCCGTTTGGAACCGGAAAGACTGCCCCTGGGGGGCTGCTGGGTCCGTCGCGGTGGCCGCCGGGCGCGGCTTGGCCCTGCCGGGGCTCCCCGAGCAGTTTTTGAGGTACAGTCAAGACGCTGAAATAAGGGGCTTGATGTTCCTTAGGATCCTCCAGTGCTGTTCCTCTTGCCCTCTTGGGGCACGGAGGCGCTTACAGGGCCAAGAAGGGGCTTCGTTCTTTATTTAGCGTTCCTTTTTTCAGCGGCCCGACTGTACCAAGCAGGCCTTTGTTTGGTATTGCGAAAACTGCCCGGGAGGCCTGTGAGGGCCGCTGGGCCCGCCTCGGCGGCCGCCGGGCGCGGCTGGCTCCCTGGGATGTCAGGGGAGTGCCTCCAGGCCCGCCGGTGTGCGCTTCGGGCTTCTTTTTTTTCCGGGGTGGGCCCTAATGGAGTGGAGGTTGGATCGCTCCTTGCCTCCCTCCCTTCCTCCCTCCTTCTTCCCACTCCTGGTCGGTTCCCTCTTGGAGGGCTATGTGGAGTTCCTGGGTCGGCGTTGGGCCCCCCTACCCGCACCCTGCGCCTCCTTCCCAGCGCTCTGAGCGGGGGACGCTGTTGCGGCTGTTTCCAGTGTGTGGCGAGGGGGGCCGGGCGCCGACTTGGGCCTCGGCGTGGACCCTTGGAGCCGGTCGTGGCTTGGGTGGGGTGGCTCTTGGGATGGGCCAGCTGCGCGTGCCGCCCCCCCCCCCTTCTGATCCTCTCTCCCTTCATCCGGCTAGCCTCGTACCTACGTCGTGCGTTGGCGCAGGATGGAGTCGAGGCCGGGCGAGGATCCCTGCCGGAGGGCCGCTGATGCCCCCTCTTCAGGAATACCCAAATCTGGCGTTTGCCTTCCAGTTTTGGGCGTGGCACCTCCCCGGAGGGAGCCTGGGAAACTGAGGGAGGTTGGGGCGCGGGGGCACGCAAGTCCTCGCACCCCCCCCCTCTCTCCCAGGGCTGCTTCCCGAGAGTGGTCTCATCCATCCCTGGGCTGACGCTGCGGGGTTGCTGTTGGTCGCCCGGTGGGCCCCGCAGCTCCCCACTAAAGGGGCTGAGCCCTCAGTCCCAACATGCCACCTCGCTGGGAGGTCACCAACCAACCAACCCTGCTTCCCTCCCCTCCCTCCCTCCTCTCTCCCTCATCCCCTCCTCCCTTGTCGTCGCCAGCCTCGCTCTTCATATACCCTTCCTCATTCCTCTTCCTCCTCAGCATCCTCCCTCCATCTAGCTCTCCCCTCCCCCTCCCACCCTCCCTGCCCGCTCCATTCCTCCTCACTCCCCCGTCCTTCCTCCTCTGTCCATCCATCCTCCTCCCTTCTCCCCCTGCACGTCCTCCTCCTGTGCAGTTGTCCCGTGCCCCTCCTAAACCTTGGCATCGCTCGGACGTGTGCATTTTCCCTTCGGCGAGGACCATCGAGGAGCATCCTTGATGATTTGGAGAAAAAACACGCACGAAACCGGAAAAAAATCACAGGGAATGGACGTCCGAGCGATGCCCAGAAACGATATCCGTGTTCCTCGCCATTATCGATGTTCCCTCCTCCCCGCTCTTGCTCCTCCCTCGCTCCGCCCTCCCTCCCTCCCGCCCTCCTCCCTCGCACTCTCTCCCTCTCATCCCCCCCCGCTGATGTTCTGCCATTCCTCCTCCCCTTCCTCCTCCTGCTCCTCTTCCTCCTCCTCCTCGTACTTCTGCCTGTCTTCCACAGTGTCTCCGGTCCTCCACCCCTCTCCCTTCCCCTCATCCTCCTCCCTCCTCCTGCCTCTCCTTCGTCCCGGCTTCTCCTCCGTCCCTTGCGTTCTCCTTCTTCTTCTTCTTCGCCCTGCTTGAGGACGACCCGAGCAGGTTCAAGGCGATCCGCACTGCCCTGAAGGAGGCCGAGGCTTGTGGGCTGAACGACCCAGAGCTGCTTTCGGCTGCGAAGGCTCTGGAACAGGAGACTGCAGGGTGTGTGGGGGTGGGCTGCGCGGCATCATCCCAAAGGTGTCGGAAACCAATATAGCGAACACTCGTGCCGCATTATATTTCCGGGGGACGAGAGGCACGACGCAGCCCTCGTACCGCTCTTCCGCCTCCGCTTTTGTCCTCCTTGTCCTTCCCTTCCCCTGGCGCCTTCTCCTCTCTCGGTTGCTCCCTCCCAGGGAGCGCGCGAGGGACGAGCTGTGAGGCTCCGCCCGTCCCCCCCACCCGTCCCCCTCCTGCTGCTCCCCTTTCTGGGGCGAGCGGAGACCCCGAGCTGCGCCGGCGGCAACCTCCTTCGCATGGGAGGACGATCAGCTCGTCCTGAACAGTTTGTTTTCGCCGCTTCCTGCTCCACGCTCCTCCTCCCCCTCCTCCTCCTCCTCCTCCTCCTCCTCCTCCTCCTCCGCCTCCTCCTCTTTTCCTCTTCCTCCCCCGCCTCCTCCTCTTCCTCCTCCTCCTCCTCCTGCCTCCTCCTCCTCCTGCCTCCTCCTGCCTCCTCCTCCTCCTCCTCCTCCTCCTCCTCCTGACGAGCTCATCTGGCAGGTCGTTCTTCCGGACGAAGTCGTCCAAATATAGTTGTCGGGATGCATCCGTCCGGATGAAGTTTGGTCGCGGAGGTTCCCGTCTTTGGATGGATTCGTCTCTGGACGAAGCTGTCTTCGGATGGATTCGTCTTCGAGAAGTTGTCTGGACGGTCTCGTCCGGATTAACTCGCCTCGGAGGGTGAAACGTATTCGGATGAAACGGTTGGTTTCCCTCCGCCTGTCCCCTCCCCCTCCTCCATTGCCATCTTCCCTCTTCTTCCCCCTTATGCCCCTCTTGTTCATCCTTCCTCGTCCTCCTCATCCTCCTCATCCTCCCCTCCTCAACCCCCTGCTCCTGCTCCTCCTCCTTGTCCTCCTCCTCCTCGTCCCCCCCCTCCTCCGCCTCCTCCTCCTTCTCCTCCTCCTCCTCTCCCCCCTCATCATTCCTTCTCGCCTCCTTTCTCATCCTCCCCTCCTCATCCTCATTATCCCCGTCCTCAGTTTATTCGCTCGCTCCCTCCTCCTCAGGAGGGCCTCATAGACGAGCTGCGCGACACCATCCAGGAGGGCATGTCGCGCCGCAACACGAGGGTCTTAAGGGAGGCGCTCTGCAAGGGCACGCAGCTGCATCTGCCCAAGAAGGAACATCATCTAAGCTCCTCGTCCTTGCCTACGTCCTCATCTTAATCGTCGTATTGCCCTGCTTTGCAAACCCCTTCGTTTTCGCGCTGACCCGCGCACAAATCATCATCGCCACGGTCACCACGGTCATCATCATTATGGCCTCATTCTCCCTAGCAGCAATGCTCGCGCAAGGAACAAGTACGCAGATAAGGGTCATTACGAGCTCAGATCGCCTTTCCGCATGCTATATGTATATATATATATATATATGCACACACACATGTGCCTCCCTCCCGCTCCTATCCTCCCCATCCTCTTCCTGCGGCCTCCTCTCCTCGCACTCCCGAGTAGGAGCTAGACGAGGTCCACGCGACCATAAGCAGGGTGCACACCGAGAGGGCCGACCTGCGCGAGGAGTTCCGCCAGGCTCCAAGAGAGGACTAAGAGGACGCGGAGGCAACGGGTGGAGACATTGAGGAGGAGGAGGAGGAGGAGGAGGAGGACGAGGACGAGGACGAGGACAAGGACGAGGACGAGGACGAGGACAAGGACGAGGACGAGGACGAGGACGAGGACGAGGACGAGGATGAGGCGGTGGTGGGCTTCCTCTCACCGTCCAGTCGTGCGCGGGCGCCGTCGGCCGCGGCCGCGGGCGCGCGAGCGCGGTGGGCACCGACCCCACGCGCGTGGCGCAGCGGTAGTGCCAGGAGGAGGAGGAGGAGGATACGTAGTCTCTTTGTCTTTAGATAGTATGAGTAGTATGAGGTAGGATGGTTCGTTATGGCTGTGTTAGTTGTATTTTGTATCGAGGGGTATTGTTCTGGTTATTTTCTCTGTTTCTTCTTTTTAGTCTCGTATGAACTTAGATGATGAGGACGGATTATTATATGCTTAGTCTTAGGCTTGCGGAGCTAGATTCCAGCGCTGAGGGACCACCTTTTGCGCACCCCCTGTGGCGTCGAGACAGTGCCACTCCCGCCACGATCTGCGAGCGTGTCACGGATAGAGGCCGCGCTGAGGGACCACCTTTTGCGCACCCCTTGTGGTGTCGAGAAAGTGCCATTCCTGCCACGATCTGCGAGCGTGTCACGAATAGAGGCCGCGCTGAGGGACCACCCTCTGCGCACCCCCCGTGGTGCCGAGAAAGTGCCATTCCTGCCACGATCTGCGAGCGTGTCACGGATAGAGGCCGCGCTGAGGGACCACCCTCTGCGCACCCCTTGTGGCGTCGAGAAAGTGCCACTCCCGCCACGATCTGCGAGCGCGTCACGGATAGAGGCCGCGCTGAGGGACCACCCTCTGCGCACCCCTTGTGGTGTTGAGAGAGTGCCATTCCTGCCACGATCTGCGAGCGTGTCACGGGAAGAAGCCGCGTTGAGGGACCACCTTTTGCGCACCCCTTGTGGTGTCGAAAAGTGCCACTCCTGCCAGACGATCTGCAGCGCGTCACGGATAGAGGCCAGACGCTGATGGACCACCCTCTGCGCACCCCTTATTTGTCGAGAATGTGCCCATCCTGCCACGATCTGCGAGCGTGTCACGGATGGAGGGTGCGCTGAGGGATCACCCTCTGCGCACCCCCTGTGGTGTCGAGAAAGTGCCGCTGCTGCCACGATCTGCGAGCGTGTCACGGATAGAGGCC